TCTAACTCATGACCTTTCCTCCACCTGGCCTTTCTTCCCATTAATTCAGAGTATGGGATTGCCGTCCATCCAATTATGTAATCCAGAAACCCAGAGCTCATCCTGAGTGATTCCTCTCCCTCATCCCCCAATCTAGTCTTCACCACACACTGTCCGTTTTCCTCCCTAAATAGTTTTCCAGCCTGGCTTCCCTGTTCCATCTCCGCCATCACCCCAGCCTCAGCTTTATTTGCCATCTGGAACACCACAGGAGGTTCCGGACTGGCATCCCTGCATCTGCCCTTCTCTGCACTGTGGTCTCAGTCACCAGGAGATGAGTCTGGAGGCTGAGTGGAAGGCAGGGACAAAATAACTAAGGGTCTTATGTGCTAAGCTAAAGGCTCATTCATTCATTCATTCTTGCATTCAGCAACCACTTATTTATTTTTTTTTTACAACAATGAAGTTTATTATTATTATTATTTTGCTTCAAAAATTTATCATCTAGGCTTTATTCTGATCCACCCCAAGACACTGAAATGCTACAGTTTTCTGTTTTGTTAGTTGATATTTCCGGGGGGAATTCCAGAGGGAATGATTTCTTTTCTTTTTTTAAATTTTTATTGGAGTATAGTTAATTTACAATATTGTGTTTATATATATGCACACATCCACTCTTTTTTAGATTCCTTTCCCATGTAGGTCATTACAGAGTATTGAGTAGAGTTCCCTGTGCTGTACAGTAGGTTCTTATTAGTTATCTATTGAGCACTGCTCTGTGCAGACACTGTTCTAGATGCTGGGAATGCAGTGATGAATAAAAGAAGTCCCTAGTCTTGTGGAGCTTACACCTTAGAGCTGGAAGACAGACATTAAACACATAACAAGTCAGGTGGTCACATGTGTTACAGAGAAGAGGGGGAGAGGAAAGTGAGTAACAGTGCTATTTTATATAGGGTGGCTGAGGAAAGTATGTCCAATAAGGTGACAGCTAAGCAACAGCCCAAAGGACATGAGGAGTGAGCCTGGATAACTGGAGGAAGGAATATGCCAGACAGGGGGACTATCAGTGCAGAGATTCTTGGGCAGGATCAGGCTGACATGCTCAAAAAGAGCAAGAAGACTGGTGAGGTTGGCGTGGGGATGGGGGGAGCTGGGGGCTGGAGCAGCAAATGAGGCCAGGGAGGTAAGGACTGGGGCAGCTGGGTCAGGCCTGTGGGCTGGATGAGATGAGTGGTGTTATCTGAGTGAATTTTAAAGGACCACCATGTTGAGGACAGGCTCAGAGAGGCAAAGGCAGAAGAAGAGAAGCCAGTAAGGAGGTGAAAGATGGACTAGGTGGTAGCAGAGGAGTTGAGAGGCGATCAGACTGCGTGTTTCAAAGGCAGCGTTGATAGGAGTTGTAGATGGATTATGACCTGAGGGCCATTCTTTTGGGAGGGGGGCAGGTCTGGGGAACAGACGTCCAGGGTGGGGGGCCCGGGGGACCTCTGGGTCAGGGCAAACAAGCTCTGCTCAGTGGTGTTGGCACCTTTGTACACAGGAACTAGATCAGCCCGACGTTTCCAGACCCTTGGCTGGAGGGACTGAGCTTAGAGTGTTCCAAACCCTGGCCCAGAGTGGTCCCCTGCCTTTGGCGCATTTCCCTGCAGGAGGAGTCATGGGAAATAAAGCAGCAAACAGCGAGGGCAAACACTGCCCTCACACAGCCCTTGCCTGGGACAACGGCTTGTCCCTGCCACTGCTGGGGTTGCAGTGAGGATGTTGTGGTTTCTGCCCTGCAGTGAGTCTTTGACACCCTTGTCCTCACTTTATTTCAGAATCTAAGTCCATTGAAGATTGTGAGGAGCTGGTGATCAACACTACGGCAGCGATCAACAACTTATCTTACTACCAAGTGAAGAATTCCATAATTCAAGACAAAAAGCTATATATTGCTGAATGTAAGGTTCAGAGTTGGGTTTGGGTAGATGCATGTTCATTTAAGGTTTTGACTTTACTAACTAAACACAGAACTGGAGGCATTTATATTTTCTGATTTCTGGTGCTACTATCTAAGAGCCTGATTTAATTCTAAGAAAGTTGAATATGGGGACACATTAGTTTCTTAGTTCTGGCTAAAGTCCCCTATAGTTGGAATTTTATTATCATTTTTAATTTGAAAATTATCAGTATTTAGCATGATATTGGTTTCTAGTAGTCTTTAAATTGAAACTTAAGTTCACTAATTTTATTTCTCTGGTCACAAAACCCAGTGCTCTTAAAGCTCCTTGTGAGTCACAACATGGATGGAATCCTGGAGGCTGTGCGCGTTTTTGGAAATCTCTCCCAGGACCATGACATCTGTGATTTCATTGTGCAGAAAAATGGTGAGTTAATGACACTCACATTCATAAACAGGCATGTCTTGCCAATAAACAGCTGAGCGGTTTTGCAGCTTGGGTCATGACAACGTGATACTTGTTTCTGCTTTGGGACAAGTGATGCCTCACATTCTGTTCCATCCATCCGTAAGGCTCTCAGCTCAGGATGCCAAGACGGACCTAGGCTGTGTTCTTAGCGTTTCCCTCTCCTTCACAAGTGGTCTTCTGAGTTTTGAGATGGCGCATGTGTGCCTGTGTGTGTGTGCGTGTGTTTAAGAGAAACAAGTAATCTGTACACATCATTTCTGTCCATGGGAATGGACTCAAAAGACATTCTCCATCATGTACTGGAATGTCTATTATAGTACTGCTTGTAATAGTGAAAACTGGAAATAACCTAAATGTCCATCAACAGGTAAGAGGATAAATACATTACAGTATATTCATGCAACCAAGCTTCTACAGAAATGAAAATAAATGAGCTAGAAGTTCATGTATCACCCTGCGTCAACCTCAAACGTGTAATATAGGAGCAAAAAGGCTAGTAATCGGAGGACATATATGAAATAATGCCATTAAGATAGTTTTAAAACCTGCAAAACAGCCTTGGATATTATTTATGTAATACTCACATGGTAATGGAATAGGGTATAAATGTAGTTGGAAATGATAAACTCCACATTTAAGACAAAGTTACATTTGAATGGTTGCCCCCAAATATAAAATTGAATCTGTAATGTTTTATTTCTTAAACTGGGTAGCAGGTACACAAGAGTGTATACTAAACATACTGTTTGTATGTCTTAAATATTTCATGTAAAAACGGTAAAAAATACCTAATTATTTATGTTCGTGATAGAAACTTTGGATAATACAGATTAAAAAAAACACTACCCCAGAGATAACTGTTAACATTTTAGTGTATATTCTTTTTTTTTTTTTTTTTTGCGGTACGCGGGCCTCTCACTGTTGTGGCCTCTCCCGTTGCGGAGCACAGGCTCCGGACGCCCAGGCTCAGCGGCCATGGCTCACGGGCCCAGCCGCTCTGCGGCATGTGGGATCTTCCCGGACCGGGGCATGAACCCGCGTCCCCTGCATCGGCAGGCGGACTCTCAACCACTGCGCCACCAGGGAAGCCCTAGTGTATATTCTTTAGACTCTTAAAAACACACTTACATGTGATGCAGCCTTTGCCAAGCTCACTGTGTGACACATCAGTAGGCCAAGGTCAGCACAGGGTGGCCACCTCTCAGGTGAGCAGTAGAACAGAGCACACACCTTATTCATTCTCCCCCAACCCTTTGCCGAGCCCCTGCTGGGGGATGAGAAGACAGGACAAACAGTTCCATTTCTAGGAGTAAGGGAAGGCTGGGAGCCTGTCCTGATACGAGACATCCCCTACCCTGGAAGTCCGGCCTCACTACAGGCTTGTTTCCTGCGGTCTGCGTGAGTCTTCTCTTACAAACTGTGGCTCTGGAAGACTTCCAGGAAGATCTCCGCTGGAGCCTGTGCTCCCCTCTCCCAGGGCTGTGTATTTAAACAAAGTTGCTGCTGGAGGTTCATAAGGGCCCTGGAGAACAACCAGAAGTTAGAGATGAAATGAATGGCACCTGTGTAGAGATGAAATGAATGGCACCTGTGTGATTGGAAGGCCCGTGGTTCCCTCCTCTCCATGGGCGGGGGCTCTACCACTGCCTGGGAGGGGGAGCTGATGCCTGCGGCAGATACAGCAATATCAGGGGACAGGGGGCCTGGGGGGCGGAGAGCAGGTTCTGAAGTGGTGGATGTTGGGGAAGGTGCTTCTGAGCAGTGGGTGAAGTCCACTTAGGAAGAGTGGACCGAGTCCCCGAGCAGGGTTTCCAGTTTTGCAAGCTGCTCCCCATTTCCCCTTTGCCATTTGAGAAATGAAACACAGCTGGGGCCCCTGAGCTTTACTGGCCTGCATTCGTTCTCTGCCCTCCCAGTTCACAAGTTCATGATTGCTCTGCTGGATGCTAAGCGTCAGGATATTTGCTTTTCTGCCTGTGGTGTTCTTCTAAACCTCACCGTGGATAAAGACAAGCGTGTCATCCTAAAAGAAGGAGGTGGCATTAAAAAGTAAGTTCAAGGCATGGAGTCCTGACTCTGTCAGGATTCAGAGGACATAGTATTCCGGGGAGCTTGGGTCCCTCTCCTCACTTCTCCCAGGCAGAGGTATTTCAACATTTGGAAGTGCCAAGCTAGGGCTAAAGAGGGGATTTAGGTTCCATTGGATGTTTAAAATAATTCAGAAGTAGGTTATTGCTACTTTAGAGCTGCTTAAATTTGTAGATATGAAATTAATTTTAATAACACTGAATTATATATAATGCATATGAAATATCACAGAAAGTTAAGCATCATGTTAAAAATATAAAAATTAAAGAGATCCTGTCCTAATAACTTCTCAATTTGACTTTTATTAACTCAGGTTAGTGGATTGTTTAAGGGATTTTGGTCCCACTGATTGGCAGCTGGCCTGCTTGGTGTGCAAAACTTTATGGAACTTCAGTGAAAATATCACCAGTGCTTCGTCATGCTTTGGAGATGAGGCCGCCAACACACTCTTAGTCCTGCTCTCATCGTTTTTAGGTAAGACCCTGACTGTGAGCTTTATCAAAATGAGAAAAAATTGTTTTCTGTGACCTGTATGGGTAAAGATTGGTAGGCATTTGGGTGGCTTTGTTTCTATAAATAACAAGAGCATGTTAAAGATGATTATAATTTGGAGCTCTCTGGAAGAGGCTGAATGTTATTTACAGTGGGATGCAAGGACTTTTAACTCATTGCCTGATGTCATGATTTCTTCTGTGGCTTTTCCCCCTTGTTTGCATTTTCTGTAAACTGCATAAATAGAAGATCTAGGCATAAATGTATTGCTGTTGTTTAAAAAGTATATAGACATTGTCGTAATTGAGAAATACAGCTGAAAGCTACTCTGAATTAAGTCACGCTTTTCATGAACCCGTACGTGTTCATTAGCATCTATGTTAATTATGTGAGGGAGGGTCTGTGAAACTATGTGACATTACAGTGGGGCCCTACATTGAACGGTGGGAAATCACTGATGCAAACCAAAGGAAAGATGAGAGTGTCTTACCTTGAAAAATTTCTATTTTTAGGATAATTTTTTCATCCTGGGTTAGGTCTAACAGCAGTGGTTTGGGTCAGTAAATGAATTTGAGTGTTTAAATAATCTCTTTTCCAAAACGGAGGTGTCCCTACCATTGCCTAGGCACTGTGCTGGATCAGCAAGGCCGTGTGGAAAGACTCGGTTTGACTCAGAGGCTGTGGATTCAAATCCAGCCTCTCTCGGGGCGGGGGGGGGGTGGTGACTCGACAGGAGAATCTCTCAGAACCCGTCTTTTCGTCTGTAAAATGGGGACGTGATATCCCTGCCCTGTTGCAGAGAGTCGTGAAAATCAAACAAGCATCCTAAGAACACTCCAGGAAGACCAGAAGGCTGTAGTCAGACAATTCTGAGTTAAGGCCTCGCTTTATCAAGCTTTTAACCTTGGGCTTAACCTCTCTGAGCTTATATTTCTCATGTCTAAGATGGGGATGATTGATGTCCACTTTGCAGACCTGTAAGGCTAATAAATGAGCAGACCTGTACAAAGAACCTGATACCAGAGCCTGACAGACAGCAAGGCCTCAAATCACGGTTGTGAAAGTGCTTCATAAACGCTGTGTCGTAACGACATGTTATTAAACAGGAACTCGGAACCTGAAGCTATTTGAAAGAATCGGGTGTGCTAGGTTGATGTGAAATTTGCTTTTTTCCAGGTAAATAAAATTTTGCATAAGAGTAGGAAAAATGAGCGTGACTTTAAATCATTGAGGCTCACAGTCTGCTCCGTGGACGTGAAGCTTTCTCAGGTTGCCAGGAGCAGAAGCCTGCTCAACTTGCCTTAATTCAGTTCTCAACTGTGGCAGAACATTGGAATCAGCTGTGGAATTAAAAAACAAAAACAACAACAACAAAACACTTGTCCTGGCCCCATCCCCCGGAATTGATTCAGGAGCTCTGGGTGGGAGGCTGATTATCTGCACCATTAAAAAGTTCCACAGGTGAGTCTGCTCTTCAGGCAGCACTGAGAACCTCTGCCCTGGTTAATGAAGGAGTTGAAGGTGAGGATGTCTGGGGAAGAAGGAAGCTGGGAAACAAGCGCATTGCCCAGAGCCTGCTGGACAGGCACTCAGGACCAGGAAGGTTGTTCCAGGTGGAACCAGAGACCCCCCCAGTGGCCCCCTCAGTAGCGGGCATCATCTGCTCCACCCTGCTGAGACCCAGCCGTGCTCTGTCAGCTCTTGTAGGAAAAGCCCTTCCTCCCCCTCGTTCCCTCTAGGCTCCTGCATGGCCGTGGCTTCAGCTGCCTTGAGTCTTCTTCTTGCCGCGCTCCGTGAGTGGGACTCTGTCTCCTCTGTTGTTGGCATGACTTTCTGTGTCCCACTGGGGAGATGTGACTGGTTCCGTGAGTCACTCTCCTGCGGTGTCGGGCTTTCGTGCCTCAGGCAGCAGCTGCCTCGACCACAGGCTGTCTGTGGTTTGCTTTGGCACCTAAGTCTGGGGCAGTCAATGATATATAACAAAATGGTGGGGCCGTGTGGCACCTTGAAGGGATGTGGGCACGGCCGGCTGCGCGGCAAGGGGCAGCACACCGGGCGGACACTCGACTGTAACGGGCCTGTTCCTACCTCTTCCCTCCCCCAACCTTCCCTACAGCCGGGTTGGGCTTCGCGTGCTTCCCTAACCTTGTACCTTTGCTCGTGCCGTATCCCTTACCTACCTGGCCCAATGCTGCCGGCCCTTGCAGGCCCTTCCCATGAGCTTTTCAAGCCCACGGTCATAAGAAATCTATACTACTTATATAGCAATTAATCATGAGCTGTGTAACTTGTTCTGTATTATTGTTTTGTAACTTTTATCTCTTTTTCCCCACTCCGGTGGAGACACTTTGGGGGAAGGATATTGCCTTGTGCAAAGCAGGTTCTTGATGCTTGTGGATTAACTGACAAGAGTGGTATCTTTAATAGTGCTGTATACTTTTAAAAGCACGTTCATTCTATCCTTGTAAGATCTCTCTGAGGTCATCAGCTAGGTGACAGATGAGGTAGGTAGGTCTAGGAGGGTTAGGTGACTTGTGTAAGATCATACTGTAGCAAGGCCAGGGCTCTTCATCTGAAAGTAAACATCTAGCCCCTGTGTTTTTCTGCTGTTCCATTACATAGTATACCCTTACCCTACCCTGCCGTGGAAGGGGACAGAGGCATGGGGAACAAAAATCAACATAGTGCATCAGGGAGCCAGGTCATCACACTGTGGAGGACCGGCTGCTTGCTGGCTCTTCTCTCCACGGTGTGGGCATCAGACCCTTACTTCTGACAGGGTTGTAGCTGCGTCTGGCCAGTTGGGTGGCACCAGGTGAAATTGATATATGAGTGAGAGTATACTTAAATTTCAACTCTTCTACAAAAAGAGCTGAAAAACAGGCCATTTTGAAAACAGGATGAGCTGTTAGATCACAAAAGTCCCACACTGAAGTGTGAGCACTGTTTTTAGAAATAATGGTAGGGTAATTGATAAAGCAATGTAATAAGTTAACCAACTTTTTCTTGATGGGGAACTGGAAAAAGAAAGTAATGGTCCTCAATGTGGTTGGGATGTTGACAGTCTTTTAGAAAAGTGGCTTAAAAAGAATGTTGTCTGAAACTTCCTGATGTACTGCGGCCGCTTCTTATAAACTCATTAGCAATGTGTTTATCTTGAAGTTCTTAAGTGGTGTGCCCTGGCACACTAGGCTACTGTGAGCTTCTCTCAGGATTGCCTGAAAATGGTGATTAGTGTGTGCAGTTTGTTATTGTGAATGTAAACGACACTAGGTTATTTTACGTTCGTCTGTGGTATGTGGAACTTAGCACCTAGGTTATATGACGGGGTAGAGGGGGACCCAGTGTTCAGGTTAGAGGATCACACCACCAAGGCCATGCCAAAGAGCCATCAGGTGCTTCTGGAACATGTAAGGACTGTGCCTTCTAATAGTCACAACAATAATCGAACCTTCAAGAGCCACCTGGTGCTGAACAGCAAGCTAGGAAATGGTGCAGTGAGTAGAGGAAGCTTTTATTGCTGCTGCAGGATCCTTCAACTGTAATAGATAGAGATTGTGTTATAATGGTCACTGACAAACTTGTTTTGAGTCCTTTAATCCTTTCTAATATCTTACCTAAAATTCTAGTATTTGGAAGTATGTTGTGCACAAAGAAAGTTTAAGAATAATTTGTTATCTAAATCAGCACTTTTCACACTGTGACCAGCATCTTTAAAAAATGAAGTAGCAAAGAAACAGAATATCAGAATATAGTACATGGGGCTTCCCTGGTGGTGCAGTGGTTGAGAATCCTCCTGCCAATGTAGGGGACATGGGTTCGATCCCTGGTCCAGGAAGATCCCACATGCTGGAGGGCAACTAAGCCCGTGCGCCACAACTACTGGACCTACCTCTAGAGCCCGCGAGCCACAACTACTGAGCCCACATGCCACAACTGCTGAAGTCCGTGCGCCTAGAGCCTGTGCTTCACAACAAGAGAAGCCACTGCAATGAGTAGCCCCCACTCACTGCAACTAGAAAAAGCCCACACACAGCAACAAAGACCCAGTGCAGCCAAAAATAAATAAATAAATTTATTTAAAAAAATATATAGTACATGTAGTAATATATAAATAAGTTAAATAAGTAAAGTAAGTATTCTATTGTGAAACATTTGCTATTTGTATATGAATATTTAAGTGTGCATATATAGTCATCATGTAATATGGACTTCTTAGGTCACAGTAAAAAAAAAAGTTTGAAAATCATAGACCTAAATTTTTCTTGGATTAGCCTCTGCTATTCTTTGCAGTACAAGTTCCAAAATTTAATACCTAGTGCAATATGACACATTTTAGGCATTTGCTGTATTTACTTTGAAACTTGAGACTGCTTTTATCTTACCTATAGGTATTTGGCCACTTTTGTTATCTTGCCTAACCCAATTTACAATTAATAGGGTCTGAGTGTAGATTAACTAATTATGTGCTAAGCCTCAAGAAAAGTAACATAGTCTTGACGTTAGATTAAAAAACCCTAAAACACTAAAATAGTGACTTGGCTAAAACCATCAAATCCAACCAAAAGCCCTGGGCAGAGGAAAGGACTGTGGGGTGCCTGGGCAGCCCTCAGCCCTAAGCTGCTTGGGTAAGAAGGGCATGAAACAAGAGAATTCATTTTTAATGAAAGTTTAGTGCTCAGAAAATCTGGAGAAGAGTGAGCAGGAAGAAGATCTAGAAATTCAAAAGCACTCAGAGTCTCACAGACTCCTTTTGTTTGGAAGTAGCCCAACGTGAAGGACTTTGAAGGCATTGAACACCATCTGTATTCTCTTTCTTTCAAGGCCCTGATTATCAAATGGGTGGGGAGAGCCAGGTTTGCTTACAGGGGTCTCCATGGAGAGCCTCGCTGAAGTGTGTGTGTCTGCCCGGAACTTATCTCAGAGCTGCATAGCTGTCCACTTGGCTGGAGGAGAGGAGGGGAAGGTACAGACTGGGATTCCAGATTTATCTTATCCTGGATGGTGACACTAACACCAATAGTGCCAAAGTACACTCTGTGTACTGAAAATATTCAGGGTAGAAAATGTGATGTAAACACTAACGAAGCATTTTATGGTAGGATTTTAATTGGCCTTATGAAAAAAGTTTGCGAATTATGCAAGTAGCAATATTTGTGGTCACTTTAGGACTTAGTGGTTACCACTTAAGAAGGCCTCAGACCTAGGAAGTAGCAGAGCAACCTTCTGACTGGCAGGCCAGTGCATTGTCCTGAAGTCCTTCACATGGGGTCCAATATAAACAAAGAAAAATGCAGTGGCAGGTCGGTGCAGAAACCTCAGTAGCCATTTGTCTTCCTACGTGGGTTGGATATACTTAGGACATTCACAGAATTCAAAGTGCCCTTGGATTAAGAAGCAAATCAAGGGCTTCCCTGGTGGCGCAGTGGTTGAGAGTCCGCCGGCCGATGCAGGGGACGCGGGTTCGTGCCCCGGTCTGGGAAGATCCCACATGCCGTGGAGTGCCTAGGCCCGTGAGCCATGGCCGCTGAGCCTGCGTGTCTGGAGCCTGTGCTCCGCAACGGGAGAGGCCACAACAGTGAGAGGCCCATGTACCGCAAAAAAAAAAAAAAAAAAAAGCAAATCAAGGTTGTAATATTGCATTTTTTTTTTTTACAAGTGCTTTTCTGCATTATCCATGGACTCACTTGGGATTCTGATACTCCTTAGGATTCTCAGTCTCCCACTTTTCACTTTTATTGGTGAGAGCATAAGGTGGCAGGGGGAGGGGTTGTCTTTTCAAAGAAGTATGTCTGGCTTGCTCTGCAATGAGCAATTTGATTTTTAGTCAAGTTTACAGTGTCAAATTCAGCTGTGCTACTTTCCCCAAAGATTTCCTAACTTCTTTTATATCTGTTAACCACTGAAGTAATTAACTTTTCTAATGTGCAGATGAGGAAATAAACTATTAATACTTTGTTTATTCTGAGAAATTGTGATCTGACTTTTGGATGTAGACTTACATGTAAACATTAGGGATAAATTGAAGTAAGAGCTCAAGTCAATCTAGGATTTTTTTTTTGAGAAGATTATTATCTTTTTTAAATTAAGAGACTAACCTATACTTACTTAAAAGTTTTGTAAAGAACAGAAAAGAGTTAAAGAACTACTCCCATAAAAAAAAAAAAAGCCTTGTTGGAATTAGAGATGATCCAGGATGAGTTTAACTCATGCCATCAAAAATTAAACTTAATTCAGTAGGATTATGTTTCTAAATAATTGCTGTAATGTTAATTTTTCTGATACAGATGAAGAACTAGCACTGAATGGGAGTTTTGACCAAGACCTAAAAAACTATCACAAACTACATTGGGAAACAGAATTCAAACCGGTGGCACAGCAGCTTCTAAACCGAATTCAGAGTCATCACACCTTCCTGGAACCCCTGCCTGTTCCTTCTTTCTAACATGATGCAGATTAACAACAGAAACAGGAAGTCAGGTCTCCTTCATTCTTAAGAAGTGGCAACATATGTGAACTTTTTTTCAGTATTAACAAATATTGAAAGTTTTTCAGGTACTGATTTTAGTGAGTAGTCTTAGTATTTTAAAAGAAATAAGCATTTCTTCTTGTTAGGTATTATGGAAAAATGAATATACATTTTGTACTTTCTGCTATGAGAAATGTAAGATGAAAATATATGCATGGGATTTCTAAGTAAATGACTTTTTCTTCTATTCTCTATTAAATAATTTAGTTCTAGTCTTAAAATCCTGACTTAACAATTCTAGAATTTAAGTGCTTGTCAGTTCAGTAAATCAACTGTGCAATGAAGACTATTAGGTTTTGTGTATAGAAATAATGGTGGTCAACACTATTAGGAATACATTACTACATAAGCATCTGCACTAATTCTTACAGCATCTAATAATAATTTTCTGGTTAGGTACCAGTATTTTTCTGGTTGTCATATTAAGAGAAGGGGTAAGCAGAAACGTTTAGAGAAGATTGCCTGTGGCCATCTACTCTTTACTAAATAAGTAAAATAGATGGAAAAGGAAGTATTTTACCTTTTTATTTTCATTTGAAATAAAATGAGTAGACCAGACAATTCTTCTACTTATAACTCTCTGTGACTAGGGAGGTGATATAATGTACTAGAAAGAGTGTAGGCTTAAGTGTACGGCAGATCTCATTTGAATCCTAGCTCTCTCCTGCTTGGGCCTTGGGCAAGTAACTTAATTTTTTTTAGCTTCAACTGTAAAATGGCATTAATATATATTTTAATATCGTGTAGTTTAGGGAAAAAAACAAAATGGGCAAATTGTCCAGTACAGTGACTGATGTATAGTAGGTGCTCAATAAATTATGATGGTAGTTAGTTTATTAGTTTGCCACTCTTTGTAGGATAAGTTTGGCCTTTGAATAAATGATAAAAACCAAAGAAATTGAGGTAACCGTTGTTATCCCATATTAGCCAAAGGCGATTTGGAAATAAAAGTAGATTTACTACTCTACTCTGTAGGGTGAGAGATGAGCCATTAATAACCAAAAAGCTCATCTCTCACGCTGACAAAATACCAAGACTAAAGGGATGAAGGCAGGCATCCCAGACTAGATGGGCTCTTAAAATCTATTAGAAAAAAACCTAAATTTCCAGGAACAAATAGACTTACCAAGGGCTCCTCTAGTTTGGGGCTCATCCCTGGTTGGGGCTCAGCAAAATCCTCTAGAGACACTCACCTTATCCATAAGTCTTTCATCCGTAATTATATGCTAGTAGATTCACTCCAATAGTTGAAATCATTTTTAAAAAGTCTGACAGGCTAATCTCTCAAAAACATTTGAAGATCTAAGTCTTTATTTTAACCATAGCAGGCTATATATTCTACTTTCAGTGAACAAGATAAAACTCTCTTCCCCCTAAAACAGCACTCTCTGTATTTATAACTAATATAATAACTCATAGTGGAATACCACTGTACCTGTTCTCCATGTTAGACTCATGTGCAAGCTGGACCATTTGGAACCATCTACCTGCCTTAAAAATTATGGTGAAAAACACATAAAATTTACCATCTTAACTTTTTTTTTTAATTTAAAAAGAAATTTTTTATCTTGGGGGGGGTGCACTGTGTGGCATGTAGGATCTTAGTTCCCCAACCAGGGGTCGAACCCACATCCCCTGTGGAGGAAGTGTGGAGTCTTAACCACTAGACTGCCAGGAAAGTCCCCATCTTAACTATTTTTAAATGTACAGTTAGTAGTGTTAACTTTATTCACATTGTTCTGCAACAGTTCTCCAGAACTTTTTCATCTTGCAAAACTGAAACTCTATAATTCATTAAACAACTCCCCATTTCCTCCTCTCCCCAGGCCCTAGAAAACACCATTCTACTTTGTTTCCAAGAATTTGATTTGACTAGTTTAGATATTTCATACAGCATTTGTCTTTTTGTGATTGGCTTATTTTACTTAGCCATAATGTCCTCAAAGTTCATCCATGTTGTGGCATGTGATGGGATTTCCTTCCTTTTTAAGGCTGAATAATATTTCCTTG